TCAGCCTGGCAAAAGTCGCTCCTGCATTCTTCAAACCAAATGGCATTCTGATAAAACAATAAGTTCCAAATGGTGTTATAAATGATGTCTTTTCCTCATCCTCCTTCACCATAAAAACTTGGTGATAGCCAGAGTATGCGTCTAAGAAACTCATTAGTTCGCATCCAGCTGTGGCATCTACCAACTGATCTATCCGTGGCAAAGGAAAATCATCTTTTGGGCATGCCTTGTTGAGGTCTGTAAAGTCAATGCACATTCTCCACTTGCCATTTGCCTTCTTTACTAACACTGGATTTGCCAGCCATTCTGGGTGCATCACTTCTCTTATGACTTTCGCCTTCAACAACTTTTCAAGTTCAATTTTTGCAGCTTGTTGTCTGTCTATAGACATTCTTCTCAATTTTTGTTTTTTGGGCTTGTATCCTGACTTAATCGCTAGGTTGTGCTCAATTAGACTTCTATCAACTCCCTGCAACTCATCTGGTGACCATGCAAATACAGCCATGTTTTCTTTTACTACCTTTAAGATTTCTTCCTCAACATGTTTTTCCAAGTTTTCTCCTATCAGAATGAACTTTCCAGGGTCATGTTCATCCAACTGTACTTTCTTTGTTTTCCCTTCAGGAATTGGCTTTTGTATTTTTATGTATTCTCCCTGTTTTTGGTCAACCACATGTACTCCTTTCACACTTGGTGTTCCTTAAAGCTCATACTTTCTTCCTGCAAGCTGTTCTCCTCGGACCGTTATTACTCCCCTTGGTCCTGGGAGCTTCATACATATGTAGTTGTGGTGTATTATGGCCTCAAAAATATTGATTGTTGACCTTCCAAGAATTGCATTGTACTGATATGGCATATCGACCACATCAAATACTATCTCTTCTTTTCTCACATTAGTGCCTTTTCCAAAGACCACTTGTAAAGATATTTTTCCAATTGCATGTACTTGTTGTCCACCAAAACCTTGTAAAGGTACTCATGCATTTGTTAACCTATCTTCTGGTATTTGCATTTTCTTGAAAGCATCATAAAACAACACATCCGCTGAACTTCCTCCATCGATTAACACTCTTTGCACTTCGCATTGTGCTATTTCCACTGAGACCACTAAAGGATCTTGATGAGGGAAAAGTATTCCTTCTGCATCTTCAGGCCCAAAGGAAATTACCGTTTTTGAGTATACTGGTGGATTTGACTGATAGCTTGTCCCGACATGATTTACCTGTCTGACATATGCTTTTCTTTGCCTTTTTGACTCAATTCCTAACGAAGAGCCCCCAGTTATGGCATTTATCACTCTCTTTGGCACTTCTTCAATTGCCTCTATCTTCATAACTTGCGGTGCTTCTATGGCGTTTTGTCCTCGTTGATCACGAGCTCCTTCATACTTGTTCTCATATCGATTTACGTGTTTTTCCAACAAGTGAGTCATTTGCCTGCATTCTTCTGTGGAATGACCTCCTGGACCATGTATATGACAAAACTTACTGTAACATTCTTCTGTGGAATGACCTCCTGGTCCATGTGTTTGACAAAATTTGGTTTGGTCAGGTTTATTTTCTCTTCCTTTTCCTCTTTCATTGTTCCACCATCGTCCTCTACCTCTGCCTGAATTCCACCATTGTCCTCGACCTTTTCCAGATTGCCCCCAATTGTTTCTCCCTCTGCGAGTGTTGTCCCATTGATGTTTTCCTTTTTCTCTTTCATTGTTGGATCCATCTCCGATAAAATTTACCTGTTTCTTCTGATCTTGTTTATAGTCATACTTGAACCTTTTCCAGGGCTTTCCGGTATAGACGGCTTCTTCCTCTTGCACTCTCAACTCATCTTCTTCTCCTCTTGCAAAACTTTCCATTCTTTCAAACAAGTCTTTTGCTGTCTTTGGTCTATTTCTAGCAAGATCGAAACGAAGAGGACCGGGTAGCAATGCCCTTTTTGCTGCCGCTATGAGCATTTCGTCATCTACATGCCTGATCTGACATCTTACCCTTGAAAACTTCACGATGAAACTTCTCAATGTTTCCCCTGGAAGCTGCTTCATGGCATACAAGTCATCTGCCTCTTTTGGTTCTTCATACGCCCCAATGAATCCTGCTCGAAAGGTGTCTCTCATATGTTCCCATGAATAGATTGTCATTGGTGGAATGGTAGTGTACCATGATAATGTACTCCTTCTAGCATTGTTGGGAGTATCTTAGCTTTCGTGGTATCATCTCCACCTGCTGCTTCAACTGCTGTCTCATATACTCTGAGGTATTCATTGGGATCTGTGTCTCCTTTGTACTTTGTGATGTTGGACAACTTGAAGTTTATTGGCCAAGGTGCCATTTGCAGGTTTTGACTTAAGGGATTCTTTGTATCTATTGCTCTGGTCGGTTGAAAATAGGGTTGTGTGGGCTGGAATTGAAAGGCCTGGTTCGGTATTTGACCTGCATATTGTATATGGTTGGCCATTTGTGGGATGTACCCTTGTTCAAGCATCATCTCTGGTTGTTGCATATGGAAAGGGGAAAAACCTTGGGGGACTTGGTGATGGTTTTGAGCTGCTTGAGTGTTTGTTGATTGCGTATGTGTGAAGTTGGGCAAAGATGTTTGAATCTGTGGTATTTGGGTTTGTGGAACTTGTATTTGTGGTATATCATTTTGTGGGAGTTGTGTTCGTGGGATATTACTTTGTAGGATATGAGGTTGGGGGATTTGGATTTGATTGGGAAGAACTGGGTGGGTTTGATGTAATTGTGTTTGAGGATATTGTACTTGGTTAGGAATTTGAGTTTGAATTGGAATATGCGGCTGGAAAGAAATGTGCGTTTGAATGGGAATTTGGTTTTGGCTAGGGATCAAGGTTCGAGCTAGGTTCTGAGTAGGAATGGTAATTTGAGCTTGAGGTGTATTCTGGGTAAGAATGGGAATTTGAGCCTGAGATGGGTTTTGTACTTGACTGGGAGCTTGGGTTCGTGGTAGATCTTGAGCTTGGGTGGCTTTGGTACTTTCTCCTTCTTTGTTCTCCCCCTGGGCATCTCCTTTTGCCTGATCTGATTGCTTTTCCCTAGCCCCTGGTATTGCACACTGATCACTTGATCCTCCTGCTCCTACTGTCTGATTGTGTAGGGTTTGCAATCTTTGTAACTCTTTTTGCAATTCCTCATATTGTCCTTTACTCACCATGACAGCCCCTTGCGCTTGGACCAATTCAGCCAGCTCTACATCACTCATGGGTGTTTTCCCTGTTTCTTCCACCACCGCACCAGCAATTCTTTCTTCTTGAGTTGTTTCATTACCTCCTGCTGCTGTGGATGTCTTGGCCATCTCTGCCCACTGCTTATCAAGTGTTTCCGTTGCTCTTGCCAAGTCACTTTCTTCCACTGCCTTTTCCCACTCTCTCTCGAGTGCAGCTGTCGCGCTTGCAAAAGCTCCTGTATAGCGTACTGGCACAGTCTTCTGTCGTTGAGAACGTCGCATTTACTGTTTGAGCCCAATTCAATGGAGACTTTCCGTCCCCACGGACGGCGCCACTGTTGTGACCTTAGGTCACGAACAAGATCGGGGATAGGCCGGAAAGAAGTGTTTTCCCGCCTATCCTTAGAAACGAGCTCGAACAGCAAACACAACTTTTGAGGATTACTTTTGTATTCAAGATGTCTTGTCCTGCTACAGGTTTTTGACTGGCTTTTATAACCAGTGGTCGTACACGTGAGATTACATTTTTACCCCTGTGGGTCTTTGTAAGTTTACTCTAATGCCCCTGCCACATCAGCGTCTGTGGGGGCATTCTAGTACATCTCCAGGGGTCTTTTAGTCTTTTAGGTGCTAGCTGGCGAGAGTGGTTGAAGGTGGTCCCCACGGAATCTTCCCTTGGCATCTTCTCTTGTTCGAGTAGTGCTCTTCCTCGAACTCTTGGGAAAAATGCCTTTTCCGTCCTGGACCGTCTTCTTCCTCCTGGGAATTTGAATTCCCCTTTGCCTTCTCTTTCATCCTTGGAAAACACCTGTGAAATTGTAACTTGTCCAAAATATGTGTAGTTGTATTAGCGATTATGGAATGTCCCTAAAAAGGTGTTCTTCACCCGAAGAGGTATTTTCTATTCGAATGAGTGTTCTTCCTCTGGGAAGGTATTTTCCCTTTGGGAAGGTGTTCTTCCTCTTGGAAAGGTAGTTTCCACTCAAAATGAGTGTTTTCCCTTCTGGATACTTAGGTCTTGCAAAACCTCGTAGTGTTTTGACCGAATTGGAGGAAAAGGTGTTTGCACCCTGCTACAACAATTGATGAACTAAGTGTTGATGGACTGATGTTCTGTTGTTGTTCTCAAACCCATTTCCTGGAGTGATAGGCTGATAGCAGTATAGCACCTGAATTGTGTATACCTTATAGGCTTATACCATTCTGTTTTGCTGTATTCTTTTAGAATATTTGTTATGCAAATTATATGAAGTTATAGAAGAATATATTTTGCTGTGAGACTCAGTTTGAGGGGTTTATGTATTCCGATAAATTTTCGTTACCGTATCCGCGCCGGTTCGTTTTCGCTCCGTTTTCGGTTTTGATAATATTCGTTTCCGTTTTCGTTTTCGGGGTTTCCGATTTCGATTCCGATTCCGAAAAAAAATATGAAAACGAAAACGATAAAGGTTGTTTCCGTCCGTTTCCGTACCGTTTTCACCCCTAATGACATGCACGCATTATCATACATCCATGTCTACTAAATTTTTTTTTCAAGTTTAGTTTGCACCTATAAAAATTAAAATCTGGAAATTCATTTGCACGGGCGAGTACTTAAGAGAACGCAATGTTGAAATTGATCTCCACGGCTGTCGGTATATATTTACAAATCTCGCGAATTTCAACGTTACAGGCCATATAGTCAGCCTCGAAAATGCCCATGTAAACGAACTAGCTATCGGCGGTCTACACAAACATTTTTTTATAGTGTCATGGTGACACTCATTTTTTCTCACCTTGAAAATTATAAAACAATGAAGCGTAGCAAGGAAATCTTCATAGAGATATAAACAGAAGAACATCTGAGTTCATCATTTATTCATCATACATGCTTCCAGATAAAAGGAAACACAAATTATTTAGTAACCAAATCACACACATGAACAGCCAATAACTAGCTACATACAGAAGGCTAGTAGCCAGTTCCCGGTAGCCAGTAGCAGACACCGCCTACGCCATTGGGGATGTCCACGTTGCAGAACGCCGGGAGGCTCGCCGCCGCGCGCTCGATGTCCCCTCTCCGGCAGCCGCGGAACACCTCGGCCATGGGGTGCCCAGCGTCGGCGGCGCCGCTCTCCCTGTAGATGATCCTCAGCATGTGGTTGAGCGCATCGCACCTGCACCAGCTGCTGTCGATGGCGGCGAGCTGCCGGCAGCAGCCTCGCCGGACCTGCTCGTCCACCGTGCCGGGGGCGACGCACTGGCGCTTCACGAACGCCCGGCATCGCGGCAGCGGGTACGTCGGGTAGCCGATTCCTGGCTGACATAGCTGGCCGGGAGTGTAGACCACCTGTTCTTGGTGGTGGTCCGCCATTGTCGTCGTTGCTGCGAGCACGGAGACGACGACGACGAGCAACGCCGAGATCACTACCTTGTTGGAAGCCATTTTTTTTTGTTTGCAGAAATTCTTGATTGTTAATTTGTATGAGAGGGATAGAAGCTCTCCCATCTATGGGTGGTTTTATATATAGCTATAAAGACTAAAGTGGTTCAGGAAATGGAGACAATTTTTTTTGGCTGTTCATGAGGGATTAGCTTGTGGTTTTGAATGAAAATTTTGTTGTTATTCGTACGCCTAATCTGGCATCACACGGATAAAAGTTGGTTAAAGGGGATTGATATGCACCACACTCTTTAATTATTTCAACTTATTTTGATTCTTCCGTGCAAGAAATTGAATTAATGCACACATTGTCAACAGACGCGACGCATAGTTATGCATGGTAACAAAATCTGTTGATCTTTAGTTCCATGGCTTATATGGTGATCCAAATTGTTGAACAAGAAAAACAATAGTTCCAAACAAATATTTTAAAAGTAATGCCTCTGGAAGCTGCAACAGTAGACGTGCCTGATCAAGCATATATATATTGGAGTTATCTGAAACACAAATTTCATATATAGATAGCTTTAATGCGCACATTGGATAACAGGTTATATTAACAAGGCACGGCATTATATATGGCTAGAAGAAGCACGTACGCAAAATCACTTTGTGAAAAAATGATACAAATTAAAGGCTACAAATAATTTGTGCTATAATCCTGTCGAGTTGCAGTTTGTGCCAGCCCTTTTTTTAAAGAAAGTATAAGGGATATCAAAATATAGGTCTTAAGTGAGGGGCAAGAAAGAGTTTGTTATTTTGTGAGAAAGGAAACAAAATAAAACAAGAGGGTTGTTAGCTTGGGTGTGAGTTTAATGTCCTTCAAAGTGTATTTGTTTTATCTGATCGATGATCTTAATTATTGCAAAATAAACAACTCATTGTATTCCTTTTTTACTCGTCATACGTACCATCTCGACACATTAATTCTCACCAGTTCATAGGTTTTTGTCATTCGTATTGATAATTATATTAATAAAAGACAGTTAAATATAACAATAATAAATATTCATATTTTATTTTTGTGTATATTAGTGAGTTAAAAAGAAATCAAGATTTTGTTGCCTCCTATCCAAAACAGCATTTTTCCATGAACGGGAAGTAACATATATATCAATAGCTTTACTTATATTTTGTTCACGCTTTCACAATTGACATATTTGTGTAGTCATCGCAGCCATTTTTTCTATATGTATACTTCGTTGTAATTTATTTTTTTGCTGGCATGCAGTATATGACAAAGTTATTGTGTATGGCTTTTACAGACGTCATGAAAAAGAACAGAATGTCCAAGAAGCAGTTGGACCAGAGAGGCCAAGGCGAACTTGATAAGATCTGAAATGGACTGTGCTGCTACAAGGGTGGCAAAGGGGATGCTTTTTGACAGGTCATGAAACTAGTCCCCGCTTTCACAATTAACAAGCCACGTAATAGAAATTACTAAGAACATTACAAAAAAAGGGGAATTTCAAGAACAAAATAATAGAAGAGAGGAACATCGTCCATTCCACTTTTTATTACTTATTATTGTCATCAGATATATGGAGACGCAGCAATCGTGGATGTGAAAATTAATTAGTCGGCTGGCTAGTGCTAGCTAGTAACAAGCTACTCCCTTCGTTACAAAATAAGATTATAGAGGGGACCTTCAGGTTTTGCAATACACTAATACACAAACGATTTTTCTATACTAGACTTCATGAATTTTTGCAAACAGACCATAAGTGATGGCGTATGCAAAAATCGACCTTCATTTTTGCATACGGCTTCTTAAGACGCCCGTATGGAAAAACTGATTTTTCCATGCGGGTCACTTAAGAGGTCCGCATGCAAAAATGAGCTCATTTTTGCATGTGGATCACTTAAGTACCCGCATAGGAAAATCTATTTTTCCATACGGGCGTCTTAAGAAGCCGTATGTGAAAATAAAATTTGAAAATTTAAAAATTTGAAACTAGTTTATCTCACTCGTATGAACTCTAAATTGGATGATTCTTTTTCCTAAATGTTTCTAAAATCATACTCTATCATGTTATTGTGTTCTTTTGCTATTATTTTGGCCATTTTTCCTTGTGACTTCGTTTTATAAATTAAAAATTTGAATTTCAAAACTTCAAATAATATTTTGAAGCAGTAAATAACTTTAGTCGAAAAGTCATCAACAACAAAGTTGTATAACTCATCAAGATCTATAACTTTTATTTTGGTCATTTCTTCATTTGATGAAGTGATAGTAATATTTTCACAAAATTTACATATCTCTCTTATAGTTTATAAAACCATATGAGAGATATGTAAATTTTATGAACAATGTTACTGTTAATTTGTCGGACGAAGAAATGACCAAAATAAAAGTTATAGATCTTGACGAGTTATACAACTTTGTTGTTGATGATTTTTTTCAACTGAAATCATTTAGTTTTACAAAATGTTGTTTGAAGTTGTCATAATTTGAATTTCAAATTCAAATTGTTGAATCAAAGTCATATAGAAAAATGACCAAAACAAAAGTTGTATATTTTAATAAGTTATACAACCTTGTTAGTGATGTATTTTTCATTTGAAATCATTTACTACCTGAAAAATTATTTAAATTTATTATATTTTAAAGTTCAAATTTTAGATAGTTCAATCAAACTCGGATAGAGAAATGACCAAAAGAAAAATGGTAGATCTCAATGATTTCTACAACTTTGTTTTTGACAACTTTTTCACATGAGTTGATTTAGAACCATAAAATTCGATTCGAATTTCTCATATTTTTACATGCAGCCCCTTAAGAGGTTCGCATGCAAAAATCTACTTAGATTTTTTCATGCTTACCTTTTAAGTGGTCCGCATGCAAAAATGCCACCCCAATTTTTTTCATCTCCCTCCACTCTCTTTTCCCTTCCACCACTTCAATTTTTTTTCAACACATCTCCTCTCTCTCTCCCCCTCTATTATTTAAGGCAAATTTTGCTACAGGACACTTGTTATGTGTGGTTTTAGCCCCAGGACACTGCCCAAACTCACTTTTGGGTGAAAACACTCCGTAAACGTGGTAATTTACCAGTGGACACCACGCCGATTAAAATAATGCTTTCTCTCAGAGCGCGCTTGCACGGGGTGGCGTCGGTCACGGCAAAGATGGCGAGGATGGCGGCTGGCGGAGTGGAGCGGGGTGGCAGCGGCGGTGGACGAGCGCGTGGCCGGTGGAGCGGCAGTGTCGGCCAAGCGGAGTGGCAGCGGCAGCGACCAAGTGCGCGATAGGAGTCGCGGCGGCGGGCGGCTGGCGAGAGTGGCGCACACCCCATGGCGACGGCGATGGCGACGCAAGCTCCCACGTCGGCTGATCTCTTTGGCGGCGGCGGTGGTATTATTTTAATCGATTTTTGACATTTCACGCGATTTCTCTCTCCTCTCCAACCGGAAAGTATTATTTTAATCGGCGCGGTGTCCACTGGCAAATTACCACGTTTATGGAGTGTTTTCCCCCAAAAGTGAGTTTGGGCAGTGTCCTAGAACTAAAACCACATATAACAAGTGTCATGTAGCAAAATTTGCCATTATTTATTTTTACTCTCCCCCTCTCTCTCTCTATCTCCACGGATCTGTCCTCTCCCTCTCTCCCCCTCCCTCTCTGAGAGCGGGTGCCGGTGACCGTGAGCAGGGACGGAGATGGCATCGGTGGGCGGCGGATCCAGCGGCGCCGCCCTAGGGAGCGGCTACGGCTACGACGACGGCGGGCGCACAGCGGGGGCGGCGGATAGATCCGGCGAGTGGGCGGCGACGCGGGCGGCGGCGCCGTCCCGCGCAGATCCGGCGCCAAGGGCTCTTCTCACCCGCGCGAACAGTGGGGCCGGCGGTCGGCGTCGACGGCGGGTGGTGGGGTAGTCGATCCGGTGATGGCGTGCAGCGGGGATACGGCGCTCCGGCGGCGGGCTAGGGTTCGGGTTTGTTGGTTTTTTTTTCCGTGATTTTATTTTCGCATGCGGCTGGTATAAGCGACCACATGCGAAAATCCCATTTCGCATGCGGTTGCGCCGGCCACATGCGAAGAGCGTCATTTTGGCAGATCTTCTTGCCCATGCGGTTGGCAACCGCTCCTTCTCGCCCGTATGCAAAAAGGGGTTTTCGTAGTAACGATAGCCATACTCCGTCAACATATACACCGTGCTGGCGATCCTCTGGCCATCGCAGCCCTGCAGGTAGTGCCACCATGCGGCCGACACATGGACACCCTCCTTAGCATGACATTCCATATTTCTCGTCATATCAAAGTTTAAAGAAGTAAAGAACGACGGCAGATAGCTAGCGAATCATCAAGACATATACAGAAGAACATGGGAGTTGTTCATCATTTATTCACCACACATGCTTCCTAACAAAAGGAAACACTAATTATTTTAGGAGTAAATTGCATTCACGGTATATCAACTTGGCAAGTGGATACAATTTAGTGTAAGATAATATCTACGGGAGCAATATATTCTAAGATAATATAAGACTTGTGCAAGAGGTTCTTATTGCCATCTATGGATGAGGGTTATGCATATTCTTGCCAACTATGGCCTTGTTTAGTTGGGGAAAATTTTTGAGATTGGTTGTTATATCGAATATACAGACACACCACTGGTGGAGAAACCATCTTTCGTCGGTCGGCCGAATTCCACAATAGTCCCGGTTGCAATAAAAACCAGGACTGTTGACGAAAAAATCGAACACACCAGCCTGGGAGATCTTCTTAGCTCCTGTGCAGGTCCAAAAATTGATGAGATGCGGGCGTGCCAGTCAGTTTGATCCTGCAACTGACAAGATATGCAAATAGTAGATCAAAACAGCCGAACGGCTGACAAGCCGATGGAGTAGTTCCAGCCGATGCCGATAATAGCCGATGCCGATACCAGCCGATAGCGATAGGATTTAAGCAATCGGCTATATAAAGGCAATCGGCTACTGATAATAAAATATAACAATAATATAGTCCAGTATAAACCAATCGGCTAGCATTGATATGATAGAATAAGCATTGATATGAAGGTTAGAGCATACATCAGCTGGAGGTCCGATGTCATGACA